TAGGAGCGGTCGCTAGGAGCGGTCGCTAGGAGCGGTCGCTAGGAGCGGTCGCTAGGAGCGGTCGCTAGGAGCGGTCGCTAGGAGCGGTCGCTAGGAGCGGTCGCTAGGAGCGGTCGCTCGGAGCGGTCTCTAGGAGCGGTCGCTAGGAGCGGTCGCTAGGAGCGGTCGCTAGGAGCGGTCGCTAGGAGCGGTCGCTAGGAGCGGTCTCTAGGAGCGGTCTCTAGGAGCGGTCTCTAGGAGCGGTCGCTAGGAGCGGTCTCTAGGAGCGGTCGCTAGGAGCGGTCGCTAGGAGCGGTCGCTAGGAGCGGTCGCTAGGAGCGGTCTCTAGGAGCGGTCGCTAGGAGCGGTCGCTAGGAGCGGTCGCTAGGAGCGGTCGCTAGGAGCGGTCGCGAGGAGCGGTCGCTAGGAGCGGTCGCTAGGAGCGGTCGCTAGGAGCGGTCGCTAGGAGCGGTCGCTAGGAGCGGTCGCTCGGAGCGGTCTCTAGGAGCGGTCGCTAGGAGCGGTCGCTAGGAGCGGTCGCTAGGAGCGGTCGCTAGGAGCGGTCGCTAGGAGCGGTCGCTAGGAGCGGTCGCTAGGAGCGGTCGCTAGGAGCGGTCTCTAGGAGCGGTCGCTCGGAGCGGTCGCTAGGAGCGGTCGCTAGGAGCGGTCGCTCAGAGCGGTCGCTGGGAGCGGTCGCTAGGAGCGGTCGCTCAGAGCGGTCGCTGGGAGCGGTCGCTAGGAGCGGTCGCTCAGAGCGGTCGCTGGGAGCGGTCGCTAGGAGCGGTCGCTAGGAGCGGTCGCTAGGAGCGGTCTCTAGGAGCGGTCGCTTGGAGCGGTCGCTAGGAGCGGTCGCTAGGAGCGGTCTCTAGGAGCGGTCGCTAGGAGCGGTCGCTAGGAGCGGTCGCTAGGAGCGGTCGCTAGGAGCGGTCGCTGGGAGCGGTCGCTAGGAGCGGTCGCTAGGAGCGGTCGCTAGGAGCGGTCGCTAGGAGCGGTCGCTAGGAGCGGTCGCTAGGAGCGGTCGCTAGGAGCGGTCGCTAGGAGCGGTCGCTAGGAGCGGTCGCTCGGAGCGGTCGCTAGGAGCGGTCGCTAGGAGCGGTCGCTAGGAGCGGTCGCTAGGAGCGGTCGCTAGGAGCGGTCGCTAGGAGCGGTCGCTAGGAGCGGTCGCTAGGAGCGGTCGCTAGGAGCGGTCGCTAGGAGCGGTCGCTAGGAGCGGTCGCTAGGAGCGGTCGCTAGGAGCGGTCGCTAGGAGCGGTCGCTCGGAGCGGTCGCTAGGAGCGGTCGCTAGGAGCGGTCGCTAGGAGCGGTCGCTAGGAGCGGTCGCTAGGAGCGGTCGCTAGGAGCGGTCGCTAGGAGCGGTCGCTAGGAGCGGTCGCTAGGAGCGGTCGCTAGGAGCGGTCGCTAGGAGCGGTCGCTAGGAGCGGTCGCTAGGAGCGGTCGCTAGGAGCGGTCGCTAGGAGCGGTCGCTAGGAGCGGTCGCTAGGAGCGGTCGCTCGGAGCGGTCGCTAGGAGCGGTCGCTAGGAGCGGTCGCTAGGAAGCGGTCGCTAGGAGCGGTCGCTAGGAGCGGTCGCTAGGAGCGGTCGCTAGGAGCGGTCGCTAGGAGCGGTCGCTAGGAGCGGTCGCTAGGAGCGGTCGCTAGGAGCGGTCGCTAGGAGCGGTCTCTAGGAGCGGTCGCTAGGAGCGGTCCTCTAGGAGCGGTCTCTAGGAGCGGTCGCTAGGAGCGGTCTCTAGGAGCGGTCGCTAGGAGCGGTCGCTAGGAGCGGTCGCTAGGAGCGGTCGCTAGGAGCGGTCGCTAGGAGCGGTCGCTAGGAGCGGTCGCTAGGAGCGGTCGCTAGGAGCGGTCGCTAGGAGCGGTCGCTAGGAGCGGTCGCTAGGAGCGGTCGCTAGGAGCGGTCGCTAGGAGCGGTCGCTAGGAGCGGTCGCTAGGAGCGGTCGCTAGGAGCGGTCGCTAGGAGCGGTCGCTAGGAGCGGTCGCTAGGAGCGGTCGCTAGGAGCGGTCGCTAGGAGCGGTCGCTAGGAGCGGTCGCTAGGAGCGGTCGCTAGGAGCGGTCGCTAGGAGCGGTCGCTAGGAGCGGTCGCTAGGAGCGGTCGCTAGGAGCGGTCGCTAGGAGCGGTCGCTAGGAGCGGTCGCTAGGAGCGGTCGCTAGGAGCGGTCGCTAGGAGCGGTCGCTAGGAGCGGTCGCTAGGAGCGGTCGCTAGGAGCGGTCGCTAGGAGCGGTCGCTAGGAGCGGTCGCTAGGAGCGGTCGCTAGGAGCGGTCGCTAGGAGCGGTCGCTAGGAGCGGTCGCTAGGAGCGGTCGCTAGGAGCGGTCGCTAGGAGCGGTCGCTAGGAGCGGTCGCTAGGAGCGGTCGCTAGGAGCGGTCGCTAGGAGCGGTCGCTAGGATGCGGTCGCTAGGAGCGGTCGCTAGGAGCGGTCGCTAGGAGCGGTCGCTAGGAGCGGTCGCTAGGAGCGGTCGCTAGGAGCGGTCGCTAGGAGCGGTCGCTAGGAGCGGTCGCTAGGAGCGGTCGCTAGGAGCGGTCGCTAGGAGCGGTCGCTAGGAGCGGTCGCTAGGAGCGGTCGCTAGGAGCGGTCGCTAGGAGCGGTCGCTAGGAGCGGTCGCTAGGAGCGGTCGCTAGGAGCGGTCGCTAGGAGCGGTCGCTAGGAGCGGTCGCTAGGAGCGGTCGCTAGGAGCGGTCGCTAGGAGCGGTCGCTAGGAGCGGTCGCTAGGAGCGGTCGCTAATGAGCGTCGCTAGGAGCGGTCGCTAGGAGCGGTCTCTAGGAGCGGTCGCTAGGAGCGGTCGCTAGGATGCGGTCGCTAGGAGCGGTCGCTAGGAGCGGTCGCTAGGAGCGGTCTCTAGGAGCGGTCTCTAGGAGCGGTCGCTAGGAGCGGTCGCTAGGAGCGGTCTCTAGGAGCGGTCGCTAGGAAGCGGTCGCTAGGAGCGGTCGCTAGGACGCGGTCGCTAGGAGCGGTCGCTAGGAGCGGTCGCTAGGAGCGGTCGCTAGGAGCGGTCGCTAGGAGCGGTCGCTAGGAGCGGTCACTAGGAGCGGTCGCTAGGAGCGGTCGCTAGGAGCGGTCGCTAGGAGCGGTCGCTAGGAGCGGTCTCTAGGAGCGGTCGCTAGGAGCGGTCGCTAGGAGCGGTCGCTAGGAGCGGTCGCTAGGAGCGGTCTCTAGGCGCGGTCGCTAGGAGCGGTCGCTAGGAGCGGTCGCTAGGAGCGGTCGCTAGGAGCGGTCGCTAGGAGCGGTCGCTAGGAGCGGTCGCTAGGAGCGGTCGCTAGGAGCGGTCGCTAGGAGCGGTCGCTAGGAGCGGTCGCTAGGAGCGGTCGCTAGGAGCGGTCGCTAGGAGCGGTCGCTAGAGCGGTCGCTAGGAGCGGTCGCTAGGAGCGGTCGCTAGGAGCGGTTCGCTAGGATCGGTCGCTAGGAGCGGTCGCTAGGAGCGGTCGCTAGGAGCGGTCTCTAGGAGCGGTCGCTAGGAGCGGTCTCTAGGAGCGGTCCGCTAGGAGCGGTCTCTAGGAGCGGTCGCTAGGAGCGGTCTCTAGGAGCGGTCGCTAGGAGCGGTCGCTAGGAGCGGTCGCTAGGAGCGGTCGCTAGGAGCGGTCGCTAGGAGCGGTCGCTAGGAGCGGTCGCTAGGAGCGGTCGCTAGGAGCGGTCGCTAGGAGCGGTCGCTAGGAGCGGTCGCTAGGATGCGGTCGCTAGGAGCGGTCGCTAGGAGCGGTCGCTAGGAGCGGTCGCTAGGAGCGGTCGCTAGGAGCGGTCGCTAGGAGCGGTCGCTAGGTCGCTAGGAGCGGTCGCTAGGAGCGGTCGCTAGGAGCGGTCGCTAGGATCGGTCGCTAGGAGCGGTCGCTAGGAGCGGTCGCTAGGAGCGGTCGCTAGGAGCGGTCGCTAGGAGCGGTCGCTAGGAGCGGTCTCTAGGAGCGGTCGCTAGGAGCGGTCGCTAGGAGCGGTCGCTAGGAGCGGTCGCTAGGAGCGGTCGCTAGGAGCGGTCGCTAGGAGCGGTCGCTAGGAGCGGTCGCTAGGAGCGGTCGCTAGGAGCGGTCGCTAGGAGCGGTCGCTAGGAGCGGTCGCTAGGAGCGGTCGCTAGGAGCGGTCTCTAGGAGCGGTCGCTAGGAGCGGTCTCTAGGAGCGGATGCTCTTCCTGTACCTGCCTCACCTCCCTCCGCATGCTCCCCCTGAGATTCGTTTCGCTCCTCAGATTTCGTTCCCTCCTCCACCTCCTTCACCTCCTCCGCCTCCTTCGGTGACCGGGCCGTCGGCCTCCGCGCTCTCGAGCGTGCGATGACGCACCTGGAATGGCCGCACGACGCGAAATTGATTGGATTCGTCGATTTAAACAAACTTATACGCGCGAGTGTGTGTATGTATGTACAAACGATTTACGTACGGAAAAAAACCCCCATAACGCCCTCCGACATGCGTCGTCTGTCGTAGGAAATATATATTTAGCAATTAATGCTGTTCCGTGATAATTTATGCTGTTACGTGCTCATTAGTGCTGTTATGTGCTCATCTAAGCTGTTATATGCTAATTAATGTCGTTATATGCTAATTCATGTTGTTACGTGCTAATTGATGCTGTTATGTGCTAATTGGTATTGTTTTTCGCTGTTGTTAATGACAGCTCAGTCTAAGTGAGTCTCTCGGTCTCTGTTTAGGTCTGTGGTTCTGTATGTAGGTCTTTGGAGCTCCGTGTAGATCTATGAGTCTCTATGTAGATCTATGGACCTCTGTGCAGGTATTTGAGTCTCTTTGTATGTATAGAGGTGTCTGTGTAGGTCTGTGGGTTTCTATGTACGTCTATGGGTCTTTGTGTAGGTCTATGGATCTCCATGTGAGTATATGGATCTCTTTGTAAGTCTATGAGCATCTATGCACGTCTATGGGTCAGTATCTAAGTCTATGGGCCTTTATGTAAGTCTATGGGTCTCTATCTGAATCTATGGGTCTCTATGTGAGTCTATGGATCTCTTTGTAAGTCTATGAGTATATTTGTACGTCTATGGGTCTGTATCTGCATCTATGGGTCTGAAAGACCAATTTATTGTTTTTATTGGTCACGGCGCATCTCCACGAATCGCTGACTTAGACCTAAGGGTTGATGGATCAAGCGATGATGGAGCCGTCGCGCGAATGGGGACTCCCCCCCGCGGCTGCCCCCATTCCTGCTGCGAGTATTCCCGAACGCTTGCTCACTCCACTGCTGATGGAAAGGGGCGTATTCACGTGGCAGCTCTAAACAGCTCCCCCCCAGCGGGTAACATTGGCCTACTCTTCCACCCGCGTTCCACGCCCCCAGCGCACGCCAGGCGAGGGAGTCAAACATATCACCAGTGTGATGACGATGAGCGAGCGAGAGAGAGAGAGAGAGAAAGAGAGAGAGAGACCCAAACTCAAAATACACAGCAAGGCTTCGAGAACGTCGAGATCGAGCACGCGGCCTCCTGCATGCCAGGCGAGGGAGTCAACATCCCGGCCCGCTCACCGGTAGCACGGCGCCCCTCCGCGCGTGCCGGTGAAGGTGAAGAGGGCGCCGGCTCCGAGGCGGGCGCCGCGGCGGTGGCGGTGTTCGCAGCAGGCGCTGACGCGGGCGTGAGGCACGCCGCCCACAAACACGGTGAGGCTGAACGGGAAGCCCGCGTGGCGGCGTGACTCAAACTCAAACTCGTCTGTGAGACACAGCGGGACCGGAGAGGGGGGGGGGGAAGGAGGTGGTGGGCGGGTGGAGTATGAGGGGGTTGGGGGGGGGGAAGGGGGGTGGGGGGGGGGGGGAAAGAGAGGGAGTGACGGGTGGATCACGTCCACTACGGAGGCCAGATGTTAACTACCTCGCCAGCTATACAGGAGGTCAGGGGTTCGACCCCGACCCTGACAATGCCTGCTGTATATATTGTTGTTGCTTGCATGTTCTCCCCGTGGTCTTGTGGAGTTTTCCCGTCCTTCCCCCGCACCCCCGACTAGTACGGTCGGCTACGCGCGGGCCCAAGACCACGGCGTGTTTCTGGTGTGACGCGGTGTGTTTCTGGTGTGACGCGGCGTGTTTCTGGTGTGACGCGGTGTGTTTCTGGAGTGACGCGGCGTGTTTCTGGTGTGACGCGGTGTGTTTCTGGTGTGACGCGGCGTGTTTCTGGTGTGACGCGGTGTGTTTCTGGTGTGACGCGGCGTGTTTCTGGTGTGACGCGGTGTGTTTCTGGAGTGACGCGGCGTGTTTCTGGTGTGACGCGGTGTGTTTCTGGTGTGACGCGGTGTGTTTCTGGTGTGACGCGGTGTGTTTCCGGTGTGACGCGGTGTGTTTCTGGTGTGACGCGGTGTGTATCTGGTGTGACGCGGTGTGTTTCTGGTGTGACGCGGTGTGTTTCTGGTGTGAAGCGGCGTGCTTCTGGTGTGACGCGGCGTGCTTCTGGTGTGACGCGGTGTGTTTCTGGTGTGACGCGGTGTGTTTCTGGTGTGACGCGGTGTGTTTCTGGTGTGACGCGGCGTGTTTCTGGTGTGACGCGGCGTGTTTCTGGTGTGACGCGGCGTGTTTCTGGTGTGACGCGGTGTGTTTCTGGTGTGACGCGGTGTGTTTATGGTGTGACGCGGTGTGTTTCTGGTGTGACGCGGTGTGTTTCTGGTGTGACGCGGTGTGTTTCTGGAGTGACGCGGCGTGTTTCTGGAGTGACGCGGTGTGTTTCTGGTGTGACGCGGTGTGTTTCTGGTGTGACGCGGTGTGTTTCTGGTGTGACGCGGCGTGTTTCTGGTGTGACGCGGTGTGTTTCTGGTGTGACGCGGCGTGTTTCTGGAGTGACGCGGTGTGTTTCTGGTGTGACGCGGTGTGTTTCCGGTGTGACGCGGTGTGTTTCTGGTGTGACGCGGCGTGTTTCTGGTGTGACGCGGCGTGTTTCTGGTGTGACGCGGCGTGTTTCTGGTGTGACGCGGTGTGTTTCTGGTGTGACGCGGTGTGTTTCTGGTGTGACGCGGCGTGTTTCTGGTGTGACGCGGTGTGTTTCTGGTGTGACGCGGTGTGTTTCTGGTGTGACGCGGTGTGTTTCTGGTGTGACGCGGCGTGTTTCTGGTGCGACGCGGTGTGTTTCTGGTGTGACGCGGTGTGTTTCTGGTGTGACGCGGCGTGTTTCTGGTGTGACGCGGCGTGTTTCTGGTGTGACGCGGTGTGTTTCTGGTGTGACGCGGCGTGTTTCTGGTGTGACGCGGCGTGTTTCTGGTGTGACGCGGCGTGTTTCTGGTGCGACGCGGTGTGTTTCTGGTGTGACGCGGCGTGTTTCTGGTGTGACGCGGCGTGTTTCTGGTGTGACGCGGTGTGTTTCTGGTGTGACGCGGTGTGTTTCTGGTGTGACGCGGCGTGTTTCTGGTGTGACGCGGCGTGTTTCTGGTGCGACGCGGCGTGTTTCTGGTGTGACGCGGCGTGTTTCTGGTGCGACGCGGTGTGTTTCTGGTGTGACGCGGTGTGTTTCTGGTGTGACGCGGCGTGTTTCTGGTGTGACGCGGCGTGTTTCTGGTGTGACGCGGTGTGTTTCTGGTGTGACGCGGCGTGTTTCTGGTGTGACGCGGTGTGTTTCTGGTGTGACGCGGTGTGTTTCTGGTGTGACGCGGCGTGTTTCTGGTGTGACGCGGTGTGTTTCTGGTGTGACGCGGCGTGTTTCTGGAGTGACGCGGTGTGTTTCTGGTGTGACGCGGCGTGTTTCTGGTGTGACGCGGCGTGTTTCTGGTGTGACGCGGCGTGTTTCTGGTGTGACGCGGCGTGTTTCTGGTGTGACGCGGCGTGTTTCTGGTGTGACGCGGCGTGTTTCTGGAGTGACGCGGTGTGTTTCTGGTGTGACGCGGCGTGTTTCTGGTGTGACGCGGCGTGTTTCTGGAGTGACGCGGTGTGTTTCTGGTGTGACGCGGCGTGTTTCTGGAGTGACGCGGCGTGTTTCTGGTGTGACGCGGCGTGTTTCTGGTGTGACGCGGTGTGTTTCTGGTGTGACGCGGCGTGTTTCTGGTGTGACGCGGCGTGTTTCTGGTGTGACGCGGCGTGTTTCTGGTGTGACGCGGCGTGTTTCTGGTGTGACGCGGTGTGTTTCTGGTGTGACGCGGCGTGTTTCTGGTGTGACGCGGTGTGTTTCTGGTGTGACGCGGCGTGTTTCTGGTGTGACGCGGCGTGTTTCTGGTGTGACGCGGCGTCTCACCGCCGGGGCGCAGCGTCCCGTCGTAGACGCAGAGGTTCTCTCCGCCGCAGTGCTGCTGGAAGATTCGCACCTCGCTCCCGTCGCGCTCCGCGTAGCACGAGCCCCCCAGGTAGCGCACCCCCACCACGGCGCCGCCGACGCGAGCCGGGGGGCTGCCGCGGGTCCCCCACGGTCTACCGGGGGGCGGCCGGGGGCACGGAGCCCCGCCGGCGCCAGCGTCCCCCTGAGGGCACGTTCAGGAGGCGATGATGCACGATGGCGATCGGCAGGTCCCGGTTGTTTTTCGTCGGCTTCGCGAGAAGGCCACAACATTTCCGGGAGGCTCGACCAGGACGCGCGGTGGTGAGCCCGGCAGCCCCTCCCTCCGTTAGCCAGCCCCTCCCCACTACTCAGTTAGCCCCGCCCACGACACAGGTAGCCCCGCCCACTCCTTAGGTACCTCTGCCCACTTCTCAGGTAGCCCTGCCAACTACTCGGTTAACCCTACCCACTACTCAAGTAGCCCCGCCCCATTACTCAAGTAGCCCCACGCCCACTAATCAGGTAGCCACGCCCACTACTCAAGTAGTCCCGCCCGCTACTCAGCTCGTCCCGATCCACTACCCAGGTAGCCCCGCCCACTACTCATATAGCCCCGCCCACTCATCAAGTAGCTCTGCCCCACTACTCAGGTAGCCCCACCCACTACTTGAGTTGCCTTGCCCACTACTCAGGCAGCTCTGCCCTTTGCCTGCATTGTAGTTGAGGACGAGGCCAGCTGAAGGCAAAATCCAGATAAAGGCAAAATCCAGATTTCCTACGAAAGCTTCACAACATGAGGATGGGACTGGAATAGTTGGAAGCCTCGATTTAGAAGGATTTAATCGTGCTATGAAATCCCAAACAAAACCTCTACAATTGCACAAAAACGCATAAATTAAGCACTAAACGACGAATGAATTCCACACAAAATAACCGTACGTGATTTTCTTTACCTGATTGCCAGGGGACCAGTTGGCTCGGTTGGGCGCCGTCGTGGATCTGATCAACCTCCGACCCCGCCTGCGCAAAGACCCTTCACCTCCGCCACCAACATGGCCACCTCCACCAGCACCACCAACATGGCCGCCGTCACCAGCAACACCAAGACGGCCACCTCCACCACCGACACGGCCACCTCCACCATCGACATGGCCACCTCCACCACCAACAAAATGGCCGCTGCCATCGACACCATCATGGCCGCCGCCACAAACAAAATGGCCACATCCGCCACCACCATAATGGCGGGCGCACCTTGTGGGCCCGGCCGATCGGGCCCCTCGAGCCCGCGCAGGAGGCGGCGACGGAGGCTGGGCCGTACCGGCGCTGCCCGCTCGGCTGCCCTGTGGTGTGGCCAGCAGCGGGAGTTTGTAGGGAGAGATGTCGCGGGGGTGCACGCGGGTGACGGGGCCTTGGGGGGCCCAGGCGTGCTGCATGCCCCCCCCCCCCACCAACGAACAAAAGACACCCCGCAAGAAAAATTGCATTTGTTAGTGTAACATGTGGATTAGACAACACACACACACACAGGTTAATGACATCATCCAAACTGTTAAGAAAAGTGAGATTGGCTTGGGCAAAGGATGCGTCATGGCCAGAATGGATGGTGGCCGAGGATCAAGAATAATTACGTAGAGGCAGCCAAGGATAGAAGGAGATGGATCCGAGTTTAATGTTGCATTATCAGAACGGTAAGGTGGTGGCGGCAGCTTTTGGAGGCCTTTATCCAGCAGTGGGAGGACCATGGCTGATGATGATGATGATGATTCCGAAGCCCCCTTTCACCTTCTGATGCCTCCTTCCATCGCTGCTGTCAGACATCACGGGGCCTTGCTTTGTGGTCGAGGGCCTGTACCCCTGTCCAGGCCTCAAGCTCGGGTCGGGCTCTGGGGCCGAGAGGGGCCGTGACATCAGGCTCCTCCTAGGGAAGCGGGCCGCACGCGGTCGCTGCCGCATGTTGTCCTAGGGTGGAGAAGAATTTGCGATGGGGGTTTGCCAGCTGCCTGAGGAGTCTTGCGTGTGTCTGTGTAGCCAGTCAGTGAGTGGGTGAGTGGTTGAGCGAATGATTTGGTGAGTTGGTGAGTCTGTGAATATGTGGGTGAGTTATCAAGTGGGTGAGTGTAAGCAGTCAGTGAGTGGATGAGCGAATTATTTGGTGAGTTGGTGAGTCTGTGAATGTGTGGGTGAGTTCGCGAGCGGGTGAGTGAGTGAGTTCAAGTGTCATGCTGATTTTTGTGAGTAACTCAAGAGGCCAGGATAGAGTGTCGTTTGCAAAGAGTGACCCTGGGACTTCAGTCTGCTGCCAGTGGATGGTGACGAATGTCGCTGTGTGGCGGTAAATATTTGGAATTTTTGGGAACCAATTCGAGGGATCTTTTGCTCGTCCGCAGCAAGTGAAGCAATTGGCGAGTGGTAGCAGTATTACCACCGTTAGGCAAAGATCCCCCATATAACCTTAACAGAATGTTGGGGCAAGAGCTGTTAGCAAGCACCTATGAAGGCCGGAACGGCACACAAAGGGGTGGGTGGGCAGCACCACGCCCGACCGCTTTTGTCTCCCTCAGTGACGATGTTTGCACACCGCACCAGGTACTCATTTGCGGCTGAGTCGAGCTAGGGGAGGCCCAGGAACGGCTCAGACAATCGTCGCTGGTGTTGGCAGTGAGCGCACATCGAACTCGGTTCGCCGGGTTCATAGCCGCTGCTCCCCACAATGCACACTCACACGCACACGCAGTGATAACCAGGGCCTGCTCGCTCGATTTCAACCAGGAGCCTCGACCCTTCGCCCATCCATCCCTTCGACGGCATTTTCCCCTTTGCCGACGCGTTCAACAAATGTGCCGTGCCCTCGATTGTCGGCGCCGCATCAGACGGCCGGGTGCATGCGCCCTTAATTCGAGAAGCGGACGCAGCCGCACGCGCGCTCCATGCCCCATGCAGAGCGCGTTGGCCGTGAAGCAGGCCGCAGTGGATCTGTGGCAGAATCAACGGTAAAAAATCACGTGGGTGGGGAGCGGGGTCGGGGTCGGGGCGGAGTGGGGCGGGGTGGGGGGCTATTCCGCGTGGTTTCTGCCCACATCAGGACACACTGGGAAGGGGGGAACGCCGTGGCGGCGAGAGCGCCTACCGGCGGCGGAGACAGAGAGGCCGAGCGGCTGCGCCCGGCCGCGCCGTCGGAGAGGGGTGCCCGGTGGCGGTGGCGCGGCCCGCCCCTGCCGAGACGCGCCGTTGCTCGCTGGGGGGGCACCGCGATGTGGACGATGCCGTCGACGCCTCGCACCGCGTGCTCAGCCTGCCACCAACGACGACGATGATGATGATGATGACGACGACGATGACGACGACGACGATGACGATCGTGGCGAAGATGACGATGACGATTGTGACGATGTATGACGATGACGACGATGATGACGATGACAATGATGATGACGACGAAGACGATGATTACGATGATGACGATTATGACAAAAACGATGACGATGAGAGGAACATATATTAATTTTTTTTTGTCACAAAAATCGGAAATGTACCTTAGCGAAATGACTCGCTAGCCGCTATCGTTACCCTGCTTCCATTCTCTATCGGAATTCCACAAAGCGACAAACATCGCCCGCGACTGGCAGACTCATTAATGCCCCACCCTAGGCCGGGTGTTAACATGTATTATTTAAATATGCAAGCACCGCCCACGCAATTGCGTGGGATACATGGCCCGGGTGGAGAGGTGGGGGCCGGGGGGAGGGGGGGGGGTGATGGTGTCATCCGCATCCCACGGCCGGTGACGTCATCGCGCAGATGCACCCGGTGGATGGTGGAGGGTCGAGGTGGATAGAGGTTGGTGGAAGGTCGAGGTGGAGGTGGATATTGGTAGAGGGTTAAGGTGGATAAAGGGTGGTGGAGGGTTAAAATAGAGATGGTGGGTTAAGGTGGACGGTGGAAGTGGTGGGTCAAGGTGGATGGTGGAGAGTTTATATGGAGGTGGATGGTGGAGGTGGTGGGTCAAGGTGGAGGTGGATGGTGGAGGTGGTGGGTCAAGGTGAATGGTGGAGGGTTAAGGTGGAGGTGGATGGTGGAGGTGGTGGGTCAAGGTGAATGGTGGAGCGTTAAGGTGGAGGTGAATGGTGGAGGGTGGTGGAGGGTCAAGGTGGAGCTAGAGTGTGGAGGAAGAAAGCTTGGACGTGGATGGAGGAGGGTGGAGGAGGGTGGAGGAGGAGGAGGCGACCAGACCCGCACACGAAGCACCCTCTCCCGGCAGCTGATTTCCTGCAGCTTCCTCACGATCTCCACCTGCCGGAGTCGCTGCTCGGACACACGGACAAAGACAAAGAGACCCAGCCTCGGTTAGCCTTCAACAGACTACTTGGGGCAAGTGATGTTAATAGCGAGCAGCACAGCACCTATTGAAGGGCCAGCACTGTGGCACACGTGTCTGGGTGGAGTAGCCAGGACTACGCCCGGCCGCCTTTGTCTCCTCGGCACTGATGTTTACTACACACTGCACCAGGGTGCTCCTAACGGGGAGGGCCCGGGACCGGTTAAGATTTCCCAGGAACTTGTTCAAATTTCCGCCGGCACTGTTATTGCTGACGTCACCACGGATCTCCATTGTAGCATAGTCGGGTAGCTGGCTAAATGGGCGAGGTCATCAAATGAAATTAAGGAAAAACTCTGTGCATGTCTGTAGGCCGGTGAGCAGGCAGAGACCATCAAATTGCTATCGTGTATTTGAGAAATCCTGTTTCATCATACTTCCCAGTCCGTGTGAGCCTATGGGTCTCTAGGCCAGTCTTATGGCTTTATGTGTGAGTCTATGGGTCTCTATGTGAGTATATGCGTCTCTACGTGAGTCTATGGGTCTGAATGTGAATATATATGTTTATTTTGTGAGTCTATGGGTCTCTACGTGAGTCTATGGGTCTCTATGTGAGTCTATTGGTCTTTATGTGAGTCTATGGATCTCTGTGTGAGTATATGGGTCTCTGCGTGAGTCTATGGGTCTCTATGTTAGTCTAAAGATCTCCATGTAATTATATGGGTCTATATGTGAGTCTATGGGTCACTGTAAGACTATGGGTCTCTATGTGAGTCTATGGGTCTGTATGTGAATCTATATGTTTATTTTGTGAATCTATATGTCTCTACGTGAGTCTATGGGTCTCTATGTGAGTCTATGGGTCTTTATGTGAGTCTATGGACCTCTGTGTGAGTATATGCGTTTCTGCGTGAATCTATGGGTCTCTATGTGAGTCTATGGGTCTCTATGTGAGTATATGGGTCTCTATGTGAGTATATGGGTCTCTGCTTGAGTCTAAAGGTCTCCATGTAATTTTATGGATCTATATGTGAGTCTATGGGTCTCTATGTGAGTCTATGGGTCTTTATGTGAGTCTATGGGTCTCTGTAAGACTATGGGTCTCTATGTGAGTCTATAAGTATCTATGTAGCTCTATGGGTCTCGATATTAGTCTACGTGTGATATTTTAGATAGTCCACTATACCTGAGTCGATGGGTCCTATCTTAGTCTATGTGTCTCTGTGTTAATCTATGGGCCCTGTGTTATTCTGTGAGTATCATGTAAGATCATGAGTTCTGTGTCTAGGGGTCCATTCTGTTTCGATAGGTTATAAGTCAGTTCACGGGCTACCTGCTAGTATAGGGGTTCTACGTAAGTCTTTGGGCAGTATGTATATATCTTGAATTTCTTTCGCACCGTACGTAGCCAACCGTGCTAATCGGTGTGTGCAGTGTTAAGCCTATGGGCAATGTTAGTCTATGGGTACTGTTGAGGCTATGGGTAGTGTTAGTCTATGGGTAGTGTTAGTCTATGGGTACTGTGAGGCTATGGGTAGTGTTAGTCTATGGGTAGTGTTAGTCTATGGGTACTGTTGAGTCTATGGGTAGTGTTAGTCTATGGTTAGTGTCACTCTATGGGCATTGTTGAGTCTATGGGTAGTGTTAGTCTCTGGGCAGTACGTGTGTACGTACTATGAACTTCTTTCGCGCTGTACGTAGCCAACCGTGCCAAACGTTTGCTGCACCCCTCTGCAATATCGATTGTTTGCTTTTCACCATCGCCGCTGTGCCATCACGCAGACACCACGGATCTCCCGTGTAAAGTAGCCGGGCTAACGGCCAAACGGAACCACCACCATCATCCCCACCATCATCATCATCCGTGTAACACATCAAATAGACTCAGAACATTCAACCCGCACCGAGCCCGCTTGAGCTGAACGAAAGTAATGACCTAAACAAGTGGACAGCGCGTCCGCGTATTCGCTCGATGTTCGCCCAACGTTATGTATTATTCTCATCGCCGTCATCATCGTCATCATCATCGCCGTCCCTGCTGAGCCGGAGTCGCCGCTTTTCACCTCGGCACGCTCGCCACGGCCCCCCCACCCCCCCCCCCCCCGGGCAAGGAACCCCCAAAACCACCACGTGGTACCCCTCTGGAGCTCGGAGTCGAACCCGGGTCACCTCGACGTCCAGGGCCTTGCTGAGCACGGTGTGGGCGAGGAGCGTGTGGACGCAGTCGCGCTGCTCGTGACGACACAGGCGCTGCCGGTGCTCCTTCTCCGACACGACGCGCCCGTCGCGCGTGATCTACAGACACGCGGCAGGGGTAACGGACGGCCATAGGAGTGTTAGGGGTAGGGGTAGTGTCAGGGGTGGGGTAGTGTTAGGGGTAGTGATCTACAGACACGCGGCAGGGGTAACGGACGGCCATAGGAGTGTTAGGGGTAGGGGAAGTGTCAGGGGTGGGGTAGTGTTAGGGGTAGGGGTAGTGATCTACAGACACGCGGCAGGGGTAACGGACGGCCATAGGAGTGTTAGGGGTAGGGGAAGTGTCAGGGGTGGGGTAGTGTTAGGGGTAGGGGTAGTGATCTACAGACACGCGGCAGGGGTAACGGACGGCCATAGGAGTGTTAGGGGTAGGGGTAGTGTCAGGGGTGGGGTAGTGTTATGGCTAGGGGTAGTGATCTACAAACACGCGGCAGGGGTAGGAGAAAGCCGTAGGAGTGTTAGGGGTATGGGTAGTGTTAGGGGTGGGGTAGTGTTAGGGGTAGTGTTAGGGTGGTGATAGTGTTAGGGGTAGGGGCAGTGTTAGTGGTAGGGGTAGTGATCTACAGACACGCGGCAGGGGTAGGGGACAGCCGTAGGAGTGTTAGGGTTATGGGTAGTGTTAGGGGTAGGGGTAGTGTTAGGGGTAGTGATAGTGATCTACAGCAGTGATCTACACCCACACGGCAGGGGTATGGATAGCCGATAGTAGTCTTCGGGTTAGGGGTAGTGTTAGAGGCAGGGGTAGTGATTGGGGTAGTGTTCTGGATAGGGGTAGTGATTGGGGTTATGTTATGGATAGGGGTAGTGACTGTGACAGTGTTATGGATAGGGGTAGTGTTAGCGACAGGGGTAGTGATTGGGGTACTGTTATTGATGGGGTAGTGTTAGCGACAGGGGTAGTGACTGGGGCAGTGTTAACGTGGAGTCGAAGGGGGCTCCGCTCTAGTTCCACCGCCTTGCCGATTCGTGCGGGCCACAACACTTTTAGGACCGTCGCAGCGTCTCCACCAGCGACCGCCAGGTGGCGTTGGTGAGTCGTGGACTCACCGCGAGCCCCACGCGACGCAGGTGCCACCCCACAGGGGCTGGTGGGTGTCGTCGACTCGATCGACTGCTACCTGCCACGTGACGGTGGAACGAATCACGTGGCGGTCTACTGAGTCACATGGTGGTCGAGCGAGTCACGTGGCGGTCGAGCGAGTCACGTGGCTGTCTATTGAGTCACGTGGCGGTCTACCGAGTCATGTGGCGGTCTACCGAGTCACGTGGCAGTCTACTGATTCACGTGGTGGTCTACTGAGTCACGTGGCGGTCTACCGAGTCACGTGGCGGTCTACTGAGTCACATGGTGGTCGAGCGAGTCACGTGGCGATCGACCGAGTCACGTGGCGGTCGAGCGAGTCACGTGGCGGTCTACTGAATCACATGGTGGTCGAGCGAGTCACGTGGCGGTCGACCGAGTCACGTGGCGGTCTACTGAGTCACATGGTGGTCGAGCGAGTCACGTGGTGGTATACTGAGTCACGTGGCGGTCGAGTGAGTCACATGGCGGTCTACCGAGTCACGTGGCGGTCTACTGAGTTACGTGGCGGTCTACCGAGTCACGTGGCGGTCTACTGAGTCACGTGGCGGTCGAGCGAGTCACGTGGCGGCCGAGCGAGTCACGTGGCTGTCTACTGAGTCACGTGGCGGTCTACCGAGTCATGTGGCGGTCTACCGAGTCACGTGGCAGTCTACTGATTCACGTGGTGGTCTACTGATTCACGTGGTGGTCTACTGAGTCACGTGGTGGTCTACTGAGTCACGTGGCGGTCTACCGAGTCACGTGGCGGTCTACCGAGTCACGTGGCGGTCTACCGAGTCACGTGGCGGTCTATCGAGTCACATGGCGGTCTACCGAGTCATGTGGTGGTCTACCGAGTCACGTGGCAGTCTACTGAGTCACGTGACGGTTTACCGAGTCACGTGGTGGTCTACTGAGTCAGGTGGTGGTCTACTGAGTCACGTGGCGGTCTACTGAGTCATGTGGTGGTCTACCGAGTCACGTGGCAGTCTACTGAGTCACGTGACGGTTTACCGAGTCACGTGGTGGTCTACTGAGCCAGGTGGTGGTCTACTGAGTCACATGGCGGTCTACCGAGTCACGTGGCGGTCTACCGAGTCACGTGGCGGTCTACTGAGTGATGTGGTGGTCGAGCGAGTCAGGTGGCGGTCGAGCGAGTCACGTGGTGGTTTACTGAGTCACGTGGCAGTCTACTCAGTCACGTGGTGGTCTACTGAGTCACGTGGTGGTCGAGCGAGTCACGTGGCGGTCTACTGAGTCACGTGGCGGTCTACCGAGTCACGTGGCGGTCTACCGAGTCACGTAGCGGTCTATCGAGTCACATGGCGGTCTACCGAGTCACGTGGCGGTCTACCGAGTCACGTGGTGGTCTACTGAGTCACGTGGCGGTCTATCGAGTCACGTGGCGGTCAAACGAGTCAAGTGGCGGTCTACCGAGTCACGTGGCGGTCTACTGAGTCACGTGCCGGTCTATCGAGTCACGTGGCGGTCAACCGAGTCACGTGGCGGTCAACCGAGTCACGTGGTAGTCTACTGAGTCTCGTGGCAGTCTACTGAGTCACGTGGTGGTCTACTGAGTCACGTGGCGGTCTACCGAGTAAACGCAGCGGTCGTCAACCGACTCGTGGACTCACCAGCCCCATGCGGCGGAGGTGCCGTCGAACTCGGTCGCCGCTGAAGTAGCCGCCCAGGTTGGCGTCCGTGAGGCTGTTGTAGTTTCTGAGCAACCTGGCGGGGAGAAGGGGGGTGGAGAAAATTAATGACAAAGTCGCCCCCCCCCACCCGCCCCCAACACCGATTACTACAATGCCCCACCCACCCCCCATAATGGGTCAAACAGGCTGTTGAGGGTCAAGTGCGTTCGTTATTAAGGCAGCCATGGGTGTACGGTGAGGAGCATTAGACTAACATAGATCACATAGACTAGCATAGGATCCATAGACTATCAAACACCCCATAGACTAACATAGATCCCATATACTAACATAGAACCCATAGACTAACATAGATCCCATATACTAACATAGATCTCATAGACTAACATAGATCCCATAGAATAACATAGATCCCATAGACTAACATAGATCCCATACACTAACATAGGACCCATAGACTTACATAGATCCCATAGACGAACATAGGACCCATATACTAACATAGATCCCATAGACTAACATGGACCCTTAGACTAACATAGAGCGCATAGACTAACATAGATCCCATAGACTAACATAGATCCCATAGACTAACATAGATCCCATAGACTAACATAGATCCCATAGACTAACATAGGATCCATAGACTAGCATAGGATCCATAGACTATCAAACACCCCATAGACTATCATAGATCCCATAGACTAACATAGAGTCCATAGACTAACATAGAGCCCATCGATTAGTATAGATGCCATAGACTATCATAGATCCCATAGACTATCATAGATCCCATAGACTATCATTGATCCCATAGACTATAATAGAACCCATAGACTAACATAGATCCCATAGACTATCATAGAGCCCATAGACTAACATAGATCCCATAGACTATCATAGAGCCCATAGACTAACATAGAGCCCATAGACTAACATAGATCCCATAGACTAACATAGATCCCATAGACTAACATAGATCCCATAGACTAACATAGGATCCATAGACTAGCATAGGATCCATAGACTATCAAACACCCCATAGACTATCATAGATCCCATAGACTAACATAGAGTCCATAGACTAACATAGAGACCATCGATTAGTATAGATGCCATAGACTATCATAGATCCCATAGACTATCATAGATCCCATAGACTATCATTGATCCCATAGACTATAATAGAACCCATAGACTAACATAGATCCCATAGACTATCATAGAGCCCATAGACTAACATAGATCCCATAGACTATCATAGAGCCCATAGACTAACATAGAGCCCATAGACTAACATAGATCCCATAGACTATAATAGAGCCCATAGACTAACATAGATCCCATAGACTATAATAGAGCCCATAGACTAACATAGATCCCGTAGACTGTAATGGAGCCCATAGACTAACATAGATCCCATAGACTAACATAGAGCCCATAGACTAACATGGATCCCATAGACTAACATAGATCCCATAGACTAACATAGATCCCATATACTAACATAGAACCCATAGACTAACATAGATCCCATAGACTAACATAGATCCCATAGACTAACATAGATCTCATAGACTAACATAGATCCCATAGAATAACATAGATCCCATAGACTAACATAGATCCCATAGACTAACATAGATCCCATAGACGAACATAGATCCCATAGACTAACATAGATCCCATATACTAACATAGAACCCAAAGACTAACATAGATCCCATAGAATAACATAGATCCCATAGACTAACATAGATGCCATACACTAACATAGGACCCATAGACTTACATAGATCCCATAGACGAACATAGGACCCATATACTAACATAGATCCCATATACTAACATAGATCCCATATACTAACATAGATCCCATAGACTAACATAGATCCCATAGAATAACATAGATCCCATAGACTAACATAGATCCCATACACCAACATAGATCCCATAAACTAACATAGAGCCCATAGACTAACATAGATCTCATAGAATAACATGGATCCCATAGACTAACATAGATCCCATACACCAACATAGGACCCATAGACTAACATAGAGCCCATAGACTAACATAGATTCCATAGACTAACATAGATCTCATAGACTAACATAGAGCCCATAGACTAACATAGATTCCATAGTCTAACATAGATCCCATAGACTAACATAGATCCCGTAGACTGTAATGGTGCCCAAAGACTAACATAGATCCCATAGACTAACATAGAGCCCATAGACTAACATGGATACCATAGACTAACATAGATCCCATAGACTAACATAGATCCCATATACTAACATAGAACCCATAGACTAACATAGATCCCATAGACTAACATAGATCCCATAGACTAACATACATCTCATAGACTAACATAGATCCCATAGAATAACATAGATCCCATAGACTAACATAGATCCCATAGACTAACATAGATCCCATAGACTAACATAGATCCCATAGACTAACATAGATCCCATATACTAACATACAACCCATAGACTAACATAGATCCCATATACTAACATAGATCCCAAAGACTAACATAGATCCCATAGAATAACATAGATCCCATAGACTAACATAGATCCCATACACTAACATAGGACCCATAGACTTACATAGATCCCATAGCCGAACATAGGACCCATATACTAACATAGATCCCATATACTAACATAGATCCCATATACTAACATAGATCCCATAGACTAACATAGATCCCATAGAATAACATAGATCCCATAGACTAACATAGATCCCATACACCAACATAGGACCCATAGACTAACATAGAGCCCATAGACTAACATAGATTCCATAGACTAACATAGATCTCATAGACTAACATAGAGCCCATAGACTAACATAGATTCCATAGACTAACATAGATCCCATAGACTAACATAGATCCCATAGACTAACATAGATACCATAGACTAACATAGATCCCATAGACTAACATAGATCCCATAGACTAACATAGAGCCCATAGACTAACATAGATCCCATAAACTAACATAGAGCCCATAGACTAATATAGATACCATAGACTAACATAGAGCCCATAGACTAACAAATATCCCATAGACTAACATAGAGCCCATAGACTAACAAATATCCCATAGACTAACATAGATCCCATAGACTAACATAGATCCCATAGAAAAACATAGATCCCATAGACTAACATAGATCCCATACACTAACATAGGACCCATAGACTTACATAGATCCCATAGACGAACATAGGACCCATATACTAACATAGATCCCATAGACTAACATGGGACCCTTAGACTAACATAGAGCCCATAGACTAACATAGATCCCATAGACTAACATAGATCCCATATACTAACATAGATCCCATAGACTAACATAGATCCCGTAGACTAACATAGTGCTCATAGACTAACATAGATCCCATATACTAACATAGATCGCATAGACTAACATAGATCCCATATACTAACATAGAGCCCATAGACTAACATAGATCCCATAAACTAACATAGAGCCCATAGACTAACAAAGATCCCATAGACTAACATAGATCCCATAGACTAACATAAATCCCATAGACTAACATAGATTCCATAGACTAACATAGATCCCATAGACTAACATAGATCCCATAGACTAACATAGATACCATAGACTAACATAGATCCCATAGACTAACATAGATCCCATAGACTAACATAGATCCCATAGACTAACATAGATCCCATAGACTAACATAGAGCCCATAGACTAACATAGATCCCATATACTAACATATATCATATAGATTAACATGGATCCCATAGACTAACATAGATTCCATAGACTAACATAGAGCCCATAGACTAACATAGATTCCATAGACTAACATAGATTCCGTAGACTAACATAGAGCCCATAGACTAACATAGATCCCATAAACTAACATAGAGCCCATAGACTAACATAGATCCCATAGACTATAAAAGAGCCCATAGACTAACATAGATCCCATAGACTAACATAGATCCCATAGACTAACATAGAGCCCATAGACTAACATAGATCCCATAAACTAACATAGAGCCCATAGACTAACATAGATCCCATAGACTAACATAGATCCCATAGACTAACATAGATTCCATAGACTAACATAGATCTCATAGACTAACATAGAGCCCATAGACTAACATAGATTCCATAGACTAACATAGATCCCATAGACTAACATAGATCCCGTAGACTGTAATGGTGCCCAAAGACTAACATAGATCCCATAGACTAACATAGAGCCCATAGACTAACATGGATACCATAGACTAACATAGATCCCATAGACTAACATAGATCCCATATACTAACATAGAACCCATAGACTAACATAGATCCCATAGACTAACATAGATCCCATGTACTCTATAACATGGAAGTCATAGACTAACATAGATCCCATAGACTAACATAGATTCCATAGACTAACATAGATACCATAGACTAACATAGAACACATAGACTAACATAAATCTCATAGACTAACATCGATACCATAGACTCTATGGGATCTATGTTAGTCTACTTAGTTTTTTCGGTAAAGTCACGTTTTTTTATTGTTTTATATATATTTTATTATTTTATTGTTTCCCTTCAACGTGACTTTACCGAAAGAACTAAGAATATGAATTACTGCAGTCACGAAAGCTTCAAATCAAAATTCTACGGTGCTTCTTAACCTTCACTGCAGCCTTTCACCCTTTTGGTTCTCGATCGTAAAAAAATGTAGAATGTTCTTAGATATTTCCAGGGTTTTTGATGAAACAAAGTAAGTTGCAACTTCGGGTGCTCCGTACTTAATTCGTATTTCGATTATTCAAAATTTTCCCCACGTCTCGCCACCCCCAGAAGGGGCATCTCTCAGCCACAGGGGATGCAACGTGCACCACAGGTTCAGAGGAAGAACGACTGACGACGACTAGCATAGCACCTGTATATTTCCATGGGAGCCGCGGGCTTACGCAGCGCAGTGTGCTAACAACCGCACAGGAGAACGTGCCACGCATATTGTCACTTTGCTTGGATGT